GACGACGACTTACCTAGCCGTTTCCCATTCTCTCGCGCAATTCTTCTCGCCTTCTCCAGGAAAGCCTCCTCTTCGGATTTGGTTTTTTTCAGCCGTTTGTGTAAACAAGGCATTTCGGACAGGATACACTTTTTCTTTTGTTTGTTTTACGATAAAGACACCTCAAAAAAAGTATCCAGGCGGTGTTTAATGTGTGCTCCGTGTGGAGGAGAAGCACCACGTAGGCTACTGTAGTTCCCCCCCATGGGGCGGGTCTAAACTCATCTACTACTCTGTTATATTCCCTGCAGCAGTCACTGTACAGCTGGGGACTTCAAAGGCTTTGGGGAGGTGTATGCATGGTAACTTAGCACAAAAAAACACTATTAAATCTTATTTGGGTTAAAAAATGTCACTAGCAAGTCGATCCGACTTTCAGTATTGAGGAGTAACTTCATGAAGGAGTTCCCATTGCTTTAGGAAGAGACGATTGCAAAATAGGCTGCATTATGACTTTAAATGGTAGTTGCATATTCCTACTTCACATTATTTTCCTTCTGTGCATGGACTTGGCAGCATGCATAGGCTTAGTTTGTCAAACAAATGTTGTTATTATCTTGAATAATGCTGTTATATGATGAAATAGCGCCACCCCATGGTTCGTTTAGGCCTTCATCTACTGTGCTAGTTGAACCCTTGTCTTTAAAAAAAGCTGTGCAAGTCATTGCAAAGGCTGTGGTCGGGAATGACTGGATGTGTTGTGAGCGTAAATTGTGACACTTTGCTGGAAGAAAAAACAACTCAAACCTGATAATCTGGGGCGCTAATTTGCTGGTAATGACAGCTACTGGAAGGCTTTATCATCACTAAACTGTATAAACAAATCTGGCATATTTTTTTATTTTCTTATCAAGATCATGATAAGCTTTACTGTACCCATGCAGTGAAAATCTGTCTTGGGCTGCGGCTTTTTCAGAAACAGAAATGCTTTAATAATCCAGGGGGAAATGTATTTGTTTGCCAGTTGTTCCATTATAGAATGAATTAAATAAAACATTAAACATTAAATAATGTAATACAACATACAATAAGCTATATAAATATAATAATTAATGTACAAATATCAGCTAAAAAGATCAAGTCAAGTGCCTGCCGCTCTGAGGGAGGAGTTAAACACCATTCCACATAAAACATACACAAAAAATAAAGCAAAAATAAAATCCTCAAATCGTTCATTTTCTCTCTGTAAAATAATTTCATGGAAAACAAAAATCCACACAAGTTTTCTAGTATACTGAATATTTCCAATACATGGAAATCACTGGGAACAATGTGCTTGGAGAGTAGTAGAAATAATAGACCGTGTAGTAAATCTGTGCGTCACCAAACACTCACCATGTTTCGGAGCTCTGCCATTTGACTCCATTCTGATTCCTGTCAAAATAAAATCACCATACGCCGGGGTAAAGTCCTTTTCTCCTCCAAAATGGTGTCAGATATACTATAATAGTTATAGTAACATTGGTAGTTTGTCCTACGTAGTGAACAGATCAGCCGGTGTGTCCCTCTGAGCAGCCTCACACAGTGCGCAGTTAATACCAGCCCATTAGACTCTTGAGCTACCATCAGTCCACTCCCACTGTAACACCGGTCTGACAAGTCCTCCACTGTGTTTGCTTTCATTCAATCAGCGCCCAGACACCTTTGGATGGAATTTTACCAGCATGGACTAAAAATAAACACTTTCAAAAGGTCAAATGTGGTCCTTTATAAGACAATGTTGCATGAAGTCTTCTATATACATGCATTAAGTCACTTCTGTGAATTTTTAAGCATTTTCACCCCTATATACGTGATGTTATGTATGCAGGGTGTTGCCCCGGTGTGGTACAGACCTGCCATTATATATGGAGGAATGCTCCTGCCTCTCCCCTGTACCTTTCTACAGTGCAAAGTAACTCATCACATGACACCATGTCTGCAGTCATCATTATTATTACAAGGTCTCTACGCTATCTTTGCCATCTGACAGCAGATAGAGGCGTCAATCCTTAGCAGAGATTTCAGAAGTTCAAACAGAACAATGTGCTAAAGCAACAACTGATGCACGATAACCTGCTTTGGTGTCTAATATGGAAGGATAATTTGAAGTAGGGGAAAAGTGCTCCGAGTGCTCACACAGATCACGCTCTGAGCCCCAGTGACTACCAGGCTTTTCTTTTCTACGAACTCTCCTGCTGGGGCAAGTCTTGTGAAAAAAAAAGATGAGGAAAAACTCTGTCTGGCAAACCTCGAGGCGATACAAAAGGAGGCTTAACAATTGCCCCTTTGAGATCCCACTTGAGCACAAGAAATGTGTGTTGTATGTATTTGGAATTTTTGCCCTCACAAAAAGCAATGTGTTTCAAAATCATTGCTTAAGCAGGAACCACTCTTTTTGCATAATGCCACAGACAATTTGCTTTTCTTGCATTGGTTGGAAAGTACTTTGCATGTCAAAATGTGCGGTAACAACCTATCCCTCAATATCAGTTTGAAGGCCTACGTCTGCTTTGTCCATGGAAAACCATATTTTTTTAATAGCATCGTGGAATAAAGCCCTCATGAAAAGGAGACAGGGCCACACCTCATGACAGTGCAGTATCATGCAGGTGTGATTGTTTTATAAATATATTGAAGCATTGAAGTATAAAGTATTTTGGCCATAGCCTACTATTCAGTGTGGAGTAGGCCTACTTTTTACTTTACTACATTTACCTGACAGCTGTTGTAGAATAAATAAAAAACTAAAACAAACCAACAAATAGTGAAAATGTTAAGCACATAGGCGTAAATAGCTAGCATATTGTTACAACATTAAACGTGGTTTCTCAAATAATGTGTTTTGGGTTTTGGGGCACTAGTTTTATGTTTCTGTGGTTTCCTTCTTGGAGGGCTACAGCGGATGTATCTGTCACTATGGCAACCACATGTAAATAAACACGGCGTAAGGGAGCGAGTAAATTTACATTTTAGCCACAGTTTTACCTAGTTAAAAAATGTGTATAAGTTATATTTGGAAGGGAAATAAGTCGTCTTGCTAACGCTATAAGTCTGTTTTAACGTTGACATTACATGCTAATTCATGTGTTTGTGTTTATTTACGCTAACTAACTAAGTTTTTGTTTAGCTAATTAGCATACCGTTAGCTACATGAGCGTCTCCTGCGCCATGCTGGAGGAACCAGAGAGCAGAGAACCCTCTCTGTTTGATCCGTCTCTTAACAGCCACAGACCCGCATCAGGGAAGTCACAGGTACCTGCTGTTTACCAAACAACCTGTGGTGTAAAGAGTACTCAGATCCATTACTTTAGTTAAAGTACAAATACTATGTGGTTAGAATACTCCACTACATGTAAAAGTCCTTGTTTCAAAATTCTACTTATGTAATACAAAAGCATTAGCATCATAATGTACTTAAAGTACCAAAAGTTAAAGTAATTATTCTACACAATGGCCCATTTCAGAATAACATCAAATACAGAAGTAAAATTACTATATCGTATCTTTAAAGTATTTTGTTATTATGGTTATTGTTTTAGTATTTATTTGGTCAATGTTCGTCAAATTTAGATACTTGAAATACTGTGTAGATAGTAGCACAGTACTGCATTTTATACCACATCAGTTTATCATTTGTTTGTTTATGTACAAAGTAACTAGTAACTGTGAGTGTTATAATAAATGTAGTGGAGTAAAAAGTACACTATGGGCTTCCAAAATGTAGTGGAGTAAAAGTAAAAAGTAGCATACAAGAGAATAGCACTGCCTGCTACTAAGAATATAATGTTGCTAAACACTAACTAAATTCACATTAAGCATTAAGTCAAATTAACTTTTTTCTCATTCTGGTACATTAGGACATTTCTCACGTGTTGGCGAGCACCTTCAAGGACCTTTACACTAAAGACATCATTGGGAAAGACACTTTGTCCAACCTCATCAAGACAAAGAATGGACGCAGCAGCTACCATGACAGATATGTGGAAGAGCTTCAACAGGTAGCCTAACTACACAAAGCTTACCCACAACTCCATAGCAATTATATATATCTGTATTATATATTTGTTCCTATTACAGGCTCATTCTGAATACAGCCAGCGTATAAAAGAGGCGGACATGTTGGAGAGTCATATAATCCAGGCCAGAGCTCGGGCTGCAGCCACAGAGAGGCAGGCCTACGAGAGGATGAGGGAGAGGATGGGAGACATTATCGATCAACAGGGCCTCCTCACAGGTGAGATGGGAATATGATCATGAATGAATATACTGCTTTTTCGAAAGATTACAAGTAACAATTTGAATTATATGTATATGTATGTTTATGCTGCTGCAACGCAAACATTTCCCAAATTGGGATCAATAAAGTACTTATCTTATCTTATGTCTATTTTCAGTCCAATCTGCCTTTTCCTGGTGCGTGGACAAAGACCTTCTCGAAATGAACAACCTCATTTCCCCCCAGGACTACTTACCTACACAAAAACCACATGTGGAAGCACCGGCAGCAAGTACATGAGCCTCTTTTGGATCTTAAATCATAAATAAACAACATGTTTGGCCAGGTTCTCATTTGTTCTTTTCCTGTCAGTAAAATCAAATCCTGGCAAACCCACCCTCTCCTACGCCATGCACGTGTCCAAGGAGCCTCAGGATGATGGTTACACTTTAATTCCCAGTCCAGAGAAGATCCTTCTGGGCGAATCAGATCTCAGCCTGACTTTTGAATCAAGCTCAGTCACCCCAACGAGAAGGCAACCAAAAGAGGTGAGGAGTCACACTTACACCCTTTCAATTAATCAGAGCTATAAGGACACAAGTTTACGATATGTTTCAGAAGTCCAAACAGACCGTACCCAGACCCAAGTGGAAGGACGAGCCCAGCGCACAGGATCGAGAAGAGGGACTGGAGAAACTTCAGAAGCTGAAAGATCGACACAATTTCCTACGCAATCCTCGCTTCCTTCCTCCGAGTGCACAGCAGGGGGGCACGTCCCTCGTCCGGCCCAGAACCAAAGTGGGGAAGAAGGAGCGTGAGAAGAGAGGCATGGAGGAGCAAAGGTAACTGGAATGGGCGAAGTATACGTCACCATTTCACATTAAACGCAGGGCAGGAAATACAAAAAGGCATGTTAAAGGTTGGTCACATGTGATCATCTACTATGGTGGACATACTATAGGCTTAGGTCAGGTCATCTCTTGGGAGCATCTTTTACCACCGTGTGCCAAAGCAGAAATATGTGACTTGATACTCCTGGTATGATGTCATTTATAATACAACACATCTAGCAGGCTGTGTTTCTGGAACATCTGGAGGCTGTGGCGCAATGGATTAGAGCGTTGGTGTTCGGATCAGGGGGTCACAGGTTCAAACCCCACTGCAGTCAGCATGTCGTTGTGTCCCTGAGACACTTCACCCCAAATTGCTCCTGTGGGGATTGCCCACAGTATTGAGTATGTAAGTTGCTTTGGATAAGAGCGTCTAACAAGTAACATGTAATCATATTACATTTTGAAAAGCCATGTTGGGTAAGAAATAATTTGCTTGCAGATGCCTATTACAATTTTGAGCGAATGAGCAGTCAACATTTTCAGATGCATTTTGCCACAGCTGTAGCCCTGAGTCAAACATAGATAGAAGTCCATCTGAAGGGGAAACAAGTCACATCATGCAGTGAGAGCATTAAAAGAGATCTGCGTGTGGACACAAACACTGCTCACCACAATCAACACGTCGAGTGTGTCATGTCAGCAAGAAGCGTGTGGTAAGTGTGGCAGAGTGTTAACGCTGTGCACACTGTGCATGTGGATCAGTGAGGATGATTATTATTATTATAGGTTGTACTCAAAAGGATAGCTTGGATGTTTTTAAATTGGCTAGTTTGAGATATTTTCAAACTATTTTTGCCCCCAATTTTAACCACGTTAAAAAAGACCCACTAAAGAACTATATGTTAATGTGTGTGCTATATTTCGAATATTGTCACATCTTTACTCGGGGTGTGGCGACCGACATCTGCTCGGTAAATACACTGACTTTACACAGGATAAGTACCTCTTACAACTTCAGAAAATAGTTTCCTTTAACAAACATTAGTGCAGCTCCAGCTTTGATCCGACCCAAAAGACCATTTCTGCTTAGGCAGGTGAAGAAAATCAAATCAAAAAATGCTTGCTTTGTGGTTTTGACGCAGGCAGTGGTAGCTTGTTACCCTGCTCAACACTTCCTGTGTTCACTGTGAACAAAAATATATACTGAACTGTTTTGTGATTTGTTTTTAAAGCTCCACTGATGATCCTGTGTTCCTAGCTACTCCCTCAGTGGTGGTGTTCACCGACTACACTGTAGGACAGGTATACGAGGTATGTGTCTGTGATTGAATTACCCTGAGATTTTGTCAGCAGAGTGATGTACAGTAACATGCCCCGCCTTGTTCCAGACTACACTGGAGCTGAAAAACTTGACGTCTGCCAGCCGTACGGTCCGAGTCATCCCCCCCAACACTCCTTACTTCTCCATTGGCCTCGGTGAGCCTTTCCTTTGTCACAGCGGATCGCACAGCTTCTTTAAAGTGGACCTATCATGCTATATTTGAATAATATAGTGTAGGACCATACCTATATAAGGCATGTTTATACTTTTTATTTTTCAAAATACCAAACAGATCATGCATTTTAGCCATTCCTCATTTCGCTCAATTTAACACTGTCTTTTCATGGGCTGATTCTGTGAGAACAGCACCATCTACAGGCCTGGCATATGTACTACAACGTCTCCAGCGCTTTCCAACGGCAATGTCCGTGGCTGTCTCCTCCTGATTGGTGGAGTTGGCCCAATAGCCGTAGCGCCACTTCTGTGACGTCATAGAAGTGTTCAAATCTGGATCAGTCTGTATCAGATCCGTTGCAGCCCCTTTTTAAGAGATTTGGGTATGGAGGAAAATAGAGAGGGTTGTGTTTTCTGACACTTGGTGAGTTCCCTGGAACACCGGGGACACATATTCATGTATACAAGACGTACAAAAGTGCATTTTGCATGATAGGTCACCTTTAAGTATGTAAACGTCCTTCTTTATTTTCCTGCAGTTTGAATGAACCAGTCCTAATGTAAACTAGGGCTCATTCCCAGGCTGTATCACACCTTTAATACAAAAGACTGGCTTCTGTTCTCTTGCACTCGACAGACAGGAGGGCCGTGGTCAGGCAAATGATCATACGGATGTTACCTGTCTTATGTCCCCTTTGTTATCTGCTCTCATCTGTATAAAGTCATTGCTTTTCTGTGTAACGGGGTCAGATCCTATTGCTACATCAGTGGTACAGGGCACATACGTCCACAACTTTGGGCTAAGCTTGTATATTTGTTCTTTGCTTACCAGAAGGTGATTAAGTGTGGAATTTCCACCACATGTACAAGCTCATAAAGTTAGTGAGGACGAGGTCAGAGGAACTGTGGAGCTGAGCTTGTATTCAGAGAGAAATGAGCACACAGGTCAGCTGCAGCTAGGACACTACACGCACGCACGCACGCACGCACGCACGCACGCACGCACGCACGCACGCACACACACACACACACAATGTAGAAAGGCTGCTGTGTGTGTGTG